ATTGTTTCTGTAGCATCAAATATTTTCTTTTCTTTTTCTTTCTTTCTCCCACCAGTAATTTATTTCTATACATTTCTTCTCTAGATCTATAAACATGATCACTACTGCTATGGCCAAGATATTTGAAATTTATAGTTTCTCTTTGATCCCATAAAATTTAGCTTCTACTTCTCTCATTACTCAGGAAACAACTTCAAGCTTACTGACATAAAAGTAGAACATGCTCTTTGATATGGATTTTCCATTCACTTGATGTTCCTTCATAACAAATTATTGCCCTAACTTGTTGGGGTACAGGGCAATTTATGTGTGGTTCTCACAAGAGCCATTTTCCTGCAATAATCACAGGATAGGCTTGCATCTGTGACTTCAGCAAATACGTACTAGGCACAAGGGGAGCCTGTTATAAAAATATTTATTCCACCTGAAAAATAGTACAAAGGAGCTGCTTTTATTATGGCAGAAATGCATTCCCATTTTTCAAGACATGAGTAGTTGTTCAAACATAGCACTTCACACTTTTGTTATTAACAGTAGTACAACAAGTAGAATACTTTATGATTTGCTAACAATAATGATATTTATATAGGTTTTAATTTGATATCTTCAACTCAGAGGGCTTGGAGTTCCAATCTTCCATATATCATAGGCACTTGAACTCAATGTGTTAACAATGGGACTATCTCTTGTTTCCTTCCACAATCTATTTATTGTCTCATTTCCCATCTTAGTAAATGGCACCCCCTTCCAGACAGGTGTTCAAATTTGAAGGAAAAAAAAAAAAGGATCAAGGGAGGAAAGGAAAAAAAAGCAAATTTGATAACTCACTGTTCCCTCACATACAATGACCAAGGTCTCTTGATTCAATATCCTCAGAATATTTTGAATTTGCTTACCTCCTCCTTTACTTTTGAGACAGTCTCACTCTGTTGCCCAGGCTGGAGTGCAGTGGCATGATTTTGACTCACTGCAACCTCCACTTCCTGGGTTCAAGTGATTCTCCTGTCTCAGCCTCCCAAGTAGCTGGGATTACAGGCATGCGCCACTACGCCTGGCTAATTTTTGTATTTTTAGTAGAGACAGGGTTTCACCATGTTGGCTGGGCTGGTCTCAAACTCCTGACCTCAGGTGATCCGCCCACCTCACCCTCCCAAAGTCCTGGAATTATAGGCATGAGCCACTGCGCCTGGCCCTTCCTCCCCTTTTACTGATTGCTGTTCCTCTAGGTTGGGGTTCTACCATCACTTGCCCAAACAAGAGTAAAAGCCTTCTAATGAGCTGCTGCCTCCAGATTTCACCCTCTAACCCGTAGCCCTAATTTCAGTCTGAATGACTGTACTCAAATACTCATTTGAGTAATGATTCCAGCAATCCTCTTTCCTGTGCTTGACTGGGGCACAGCATTTTTCCTATCTGGACCATCCCCTCGGTCTCCCATGTGAAAATATCTGCAACTTTGTTTCAAAATCTACCGTTATAAACTTTCTTATACTAACCACAATTTATCAATTACTTTATCCTTCACACCCTATACTCATGCTACAATATTTTACACTTAGTTCATATAATTTTTCCAACACTGCACATGCCTATCTTTATTAAGAAAATATATATGACTTTAGAATATCTCCCTATACCCAATACCTAGTAGAGTTCTTTTTAGCAAGTGCCAATAAATAGTTAAAGGCTCAATACATGTATGATTCATATAGTTATCAGGGGCACTGGCTTAGGAAAATGAGAGAGCTGATTTTAAATCCTAGATCTAACATGGGTTGTGTAATTCTGCAGAAGTTACTAATTTCTCTTAAATTCACCTTTTTGTATGTCAGGAGAGATGAAGCAGTCTGTGAGGTGTGCTACACTTGAGTGAATGGCTCAGGCAAAGTGCATCTGAGTCACGTTAATTTGGTGCAGATGAGGAGGCACATGGCGTAGCTAAGCTGGAGGGGAGGATGGCTGGTTGCATGCAATCCTTCGGGCTTTCCTCAAGCTCAGGGGAAACCTACTTTGTTGGGCATGGATGGATGTCCTGTGGCTGTGATTCAGTAAAGAAATTCTACCCACTCCCCAACACCACGTTTCCTTTTCATAGGGATTTTGCAAGAATGGTCTTTTGTGTCTGGACAAAATCCAATCTGATCTTGGGTCTGGGCTACTTAAGGGAGTTGCAGACAAAATCTTGCAACGGGATGCTTGTGATGATAGCAACTGCAGTCCTTCCTTCTGAGGGTAAGGAAAGCCAGTAGTCCTAGCTATTTCTTTACCATGTCACCCAGAGCAAGTTGTATGTCTTATTCAGTAGACAATTCTGCTTGTCTCCTCTGACTCCTGTATGAAATGGCAATATTCATGTGCCTGCTTCCCTACATTGCTAGGAACAAATCAGAAGATGCTTATTCTTTACAGTCTCTGACACATATTAACTTTAACAAATGATGGCTATATAATATCATGTTTTAATAAATTAATATATTACAATACCAATGCTATGAATAGGTGGAAAATGTGAGCATGACTGTGGTGCAATTGAGGTATTAAAGTCAATTTAATAAAATACATTCCCATAAGGTACTCATGCCCAACCCATTCTCTGGTTATTTTCTGATTATCTACAAGAATGTTTATCCATTAAGTTTATTACTTTTTCTCCTTTAATAATGGTTTAAAATTACACAACCATCATTTGTCATTAAATCCTGCCACACTATTTCACTATTTGTGTTTAAGTTTGAGTTTAAAATCCTGTTGGCTCCCAGTACTACTACTTCAACCATGGGTCAATGTGAAAAGAATATTGACCAAACACATGGACAGTATGCTCACCCCAAAGATAGCAAATGAAGTCACAACAAAAAGAACATTCCAGAGAGTTGCAAACCAAGACAGGTGAGGGGGAGGTTTGAGTATCACTAGCCACAGAGCAGCAGATAACTCAAAAGAGCCTGTACCTTAGCTCTCACCCCCAGGTAGACATTATACCTGGGGCTATAGAGTCAGCAAAACAGCATAAACAGTCCCACTAAGCTGTTGCTCTTAATGTTAAATTTGTTAATATTGAGTTTATATCCTAGGTTTAATGCATACTAAGTGTGTGGTATTGAACAAATTGCTTAATGTTTCCAAGACCCAGTTTTCTCTCTAACAAATGGGTGGTGTTGAGGATTAATTAGTAGAATGTCTACAAAAAACACATGCAGAATAACTGTTAGCTATTTTTATACTGTGCTAGACAAATATTTTGCAAGGTGGATGCTCTGAATAAGTGGAGAATATAACTGTAAATACGAAGCACTTTGAAATTTGTTTTACTAGTTGTCCATCATGTAGTATGAGTTTGCTAAGCTCTGTGATCCAAAGACAAATAATACTACTGTCCAAGTTCTAGTTTGCAGGATCATAATTGGGGGTAGGATTTTTTTAATGCATGATTTTATTCAGGTATAGGAATTGTGACGTGAGGAACTAACATGGCATAGCTAAGCTGGATTGTTGAGGCTACGAAAGCCTGCAATTAAGGTGGACAGAGAGTGAGAAGTTAGCTGGCCACTGACTCATCTCTGTTATTCAACAACTAGAGGAAATGTCAATACAAGCTTGCTTTCTGGAGTTTGGCAAACTTGGCTGCAAACCCAGCTCTGCCACTTCCTGTCTGTGGGGCTTGAGCAAGTCAACCTCTCTAAGCTTTAGCTTTCTCATTTTCAAAGTAGGTAGATGGAGCAGTTACCCAGTAATATTTATCTGGGCTACTTTGAGGAATCATAAACTGCTTAGAATAGTGCATATAATAAGCATGAAGGAAACAGTGCTATTTCTAGAGTGATAGAAAGTAATGCTATTAATATTATTAGCATTATTGCTATTAATATTTTATTAATACTTTCAGTGTTATTCTGTAGGCCCTGGAGGAATCAGGTCTGTCAAATATGTCTGATGGTAGAGATGGACACTGAGAATATCATGAAATACAGAATACCCACACAAACCACGCAATGTGATCTCTCTGTCGGAGAGAGTTTAGACAACTTCAACAAGTCACTTGATCTCTTCATCACCTGCTTTCATGTAAATAAAGCGAGTCAGAGCTTAACTTGGCTTACATCACAAAGTGACAGCATAGGTATGAAAAAAGCTTTAGTAGCTAAAAATAAATGTTTAGTAGAGAAAAAAGTGATGCCGTGAAGTTGAGCAGTCCTGGGTTCTCTTCCAGATTATTTCATAGGTGAGGCTCTGAGCAAATTACTGAATCTCTTCAAACCTCACACTGTTAGTCTGATCATTGTAAATCATATTAACTAACCCATTGTTCTATAATAAAAGTGTATATAACAGGATAATGTGGCTTGAGGTGCACTATCAATAACTCCTACATCCCTTCCCCACAAAAAATATACATAATAAAATGCTTCATTAAGAGGAGGCTAAGTGAAATCTGTGGTGTCTATCTTTTTTATGTGAAAGTATTTTAAACACATATTATATTCTGGGAGAAGTCTTTTCTTTTTCTATTAATTTATACTGAGAGCACGGCATATTTAAAAGTGAATTGCATGACATTGTTTGTAGGCTAAAGAGAAAAATGGTTTTTGGTTTCATAACAGAAGGTTGGTTAAACTCAATGGAACAGTGTCTCTTTTATTAGACTCAGGATACCTAAATGAAATATCATCAAATATAACTCACGAAGGAAACTTCTAATACTTGAAAGTTACAATCTAGTCAATAATATTCTATTTGAATAAATGCATTCACATGCATCAATAAATATGTATCTATCCATCTATCTATCAAGTGCTTCCATCTCTGAATTAAAATGTTAAAGTTGAATATGAAAGTCAATATTGGCATGTACAGGCACACACAAAAAAGCTTTCCACAAAAATTATTCCTATGTTTTATATCTCTTTACATAGCTAAAAAGTCCATTTCAGTTTGCAGTATGGCTTTTAAAACATCTCTTTTGATATCTATGTCAGTGTACTGGATAAACAAACACTTACTGTATGCACATCCAAACACTTCGATTCGCATTCCAATTCTGCCCTTGGGGTTCCATTCTAAAGGGAGGAAGCGCAGAAATCGGGCTTTGATAGAAGGCTGGAGTCTATAGTACACAACACTGTCTGCATTTGCATTTCCTGAAAAACCCTACGAGAAAAGGGAAAGAAGGAAATCAATGTATCTGGAGAATGTGCATTTCAGTTTGTCACCTACAATGTCTATGAACACTGTGTGATCTGCATTGTACTATGAATGGTGCTACCTTCTATAAGAAAACCATGTTAACGGTTATGTCACGATGTCTCTCCATCCACACAAATCACTGTTGCTTCAACTTTTCTTTCCAAGAGAGTTTAAATTCTACACCCCATTATACCAGTTTTCAACCATGATACCTGCAATAAAAATTGCTTCTGTAACGTGTAGATTGAATGTAAAAGTGTTCCATGTCTATGGCAATTAACATTGTGAATAGCAACAAAAAAATTGAGAACATATTCTCCAAGGGTTGAAGAACTATCATCTCAGTCGACAAAGAAGTTGCATACATCATTGATGAATGAATTAAGCTATGATGTGTTTTGGTTCTTTCATCTTCTCATCTTACTTGTTAACATAAAGAAAAGTACCACCCAACATTCAAGTTGGAGCTACACTCAGATAACAGGTTGTTAAACCTCAGCAGCACAATGCCAGACACACACATTCAAATTGTTAAGGGACACTGGAAACAATAATAATGTGGAAAGACCTGTAATTAAACTTATGGACTTTAGAATTTGAAAGCTAGAGAAATCTTGGGAATGATGCTAAGTTAGCACAGTCAAATCGCAGACAAGGAAATTAAAGTTCAGAAAGGAAAGAAAGAAAAGAAAAAACCCTCTGGTGTTTGCAAGCATTGCAACCATTATGTGGTAGGACCAGGAGCTATGTTTCTTCCATAAAATCAGGATGCATCTACATAATAGGTAGCTCACCTGTAAAACTCACATACTGCAGCACCCAACATCTAAGCATCTTTTGTTTTCTTCCATACAACACACTGTTAAGACTACAGGTGGAGAAGTCATCATGAAGCAGAAGTTGTTCTCAATAATTTACATTTCATTTTTATTTCCCAGCTTCCTTACCATGGTCCTCCTCCTCCTCTCCACCATCTCTTTCTTTCATAATAAGGGAACATGCAACTACATTTGCAGGTTCATGTTAAGTCCCTCACCCATGACTGGGTCAACAAATAAGATCAACCTCATGTAGACTGCCCAAAGCAAAGATAAACACAATAGAAACACCAGTACCCAGGGTATCTGATCATTTGCCTGTTTTTCTTTCTACTTCACAAATATCCCTTTACTATCATTTACCAAAACATTTTCTAATACATTTTTAAAAGATTGGGTGTTTTATAGTTCAATTAATTTGATTCTCCTTGTCAGTCAATCCCCTACGTCCTGCCCCTACTCCACCAGTATCCCATATACTAAATGTTCAAGCTCACAAAACACAGGCACAGCTGGGATGGCATCTCCAAATTACATCCAAAATCGGGGCATCTCTTTATCTCAATATGACCACTCAGTTCAACAAAGCATCACCTCACCAGAACTACCCTGACAGCCTCTTCCTGGTCTTTATTATTATTTTGTTCTTTGCCATCATCCCCAATATATTCCCCTCTGAGCACATAGTAACACTTGTAGAGGTAAATTAAACTATGCCGTCCCCAACACTTTCTTTACCACATAGAACAAAATCTAAACTCCTCATCCAAACACAGTCTCCAGCAACCACCTCCATTATGCTCTAACCACACTGGACCTCCTCGAACAAGCCAAGTACAGTCCTCTCAGGGATTTGCACCAGCAGTCCATTCTGCTCTGAAAGCTCTTTCCCAAGATCTTTGCATGCCCAGTCTCTCTTGTCATTTTAAGCTTTGACTAAAATATTACCCCCAAGACAGGTCCTTTTTGATCACAGTCTCTAAAGTACCTGTGTACTTGACGTCCCCCATAAATATCTTGCTATTTTCTCTATATTTCTCATTATTTTAAGAGGGGTTTCTCTTGTTTGATCATTATCTGCCTGTTTATCTTATCCTCCTAGAAAACAAACTCTACTAAAGCAGAGAGGTGTATTGTGTTCCATCTGTAATACCTAGAACATTGCTCGGCTCAAAGTGGTTCTCATCAAAATATTTGTTGAATGTGTATGTTTGAGAAAGACTGAGCTTAAAAACAAAAGTTCCACAGACGTCTCAATTACAGGGCCTCTCAGAGCATGTCACATGTTAATGTGCAAATTGCAATGTATCAGCCCATGGCAGGGACGCTTACCTAGCGCATCTCAAATATATAAGGCCAGAGAACTGCTCCCCTCTGCTTTTGCTGTTGTTACTATTGTTGTTTTGCAGAGCAAATTTCTAGACTAGTGTTTCCCAGAACATAAATAGGAGAACACTGTTTAATTCCATGGATATTTGTACTCTGATAACCAGACCCCTGAGAAGGTTCCATTCTGTTCCACTGGTCAAAATTTTTTACTGAGGTTTGGTAAGAAAAGTTAGCTATTTTCTATATTGCACTAACCAAACCTTATTCTCACCCAACCTCTAGACCATGACAGTCTCAATTTCTATGGAAATCCTGATGATTTGCCCAAAAATTTGATTATTTCAATTTCCTTTAGGATGGCTGATATAGGGCAATGTTTCCCAAACTTAGACTGTACATTAAAACTCTCAACGCTCAGAGCCTGAGCACTGCTTTTGTTCTCTCTTTCTCTTTGTGTGTGTGTATGTGTCAGCTTATGTCTTTTTTTTTTTTTTTTTTTTTAAAGATGGAGTCTCGCTCTGTCACCCAGGCTGGAGTGCAGTGGCGCGATCGCAGCTCACTGCAACCTCCACCTCCTGGGCTCAAACAATTCTCCTGCCTCAGCCTCCCAAGTAGCTGGGATTATGGGCCCCAGACACCATGGCTGGTACTTTTTTTTTGCATTTTTACTAGAGACGAGGATTCACCATGTTGGCCAGGCTGGTCTCAAACTCCTGACCTCAAATGATCTGCCCACCTTGGCCTCCCAAGGTGTTAGGATTACAGGCGTGAGCCACCACACCCAGCCTGCATGCTTATGTCTTTACAAGCTTTCCAAATTAGAGTAATGTGTAGCTTAGGTTGAGGACCTTAGATCTTATACTTTTGATTCTATTTCTTAAGTGCCACTGGCAGGCTAACACAATCCCTAATTATAATTTCTTGCACAGTGAACAGCTGGATGATTAATTAAATTACCCTCCAAAAGATCTCACATTTGTTTCAAAATTAATGTAAGTTCAATGATTTTGGCGTCTTAAGGGACTGGGAGAAAAGATGCACAGTGACAGTGACAGCCGACAGGTAAATGCAGTAAGACATCTGCAAATGACAGCCTTTCACTTTTCACTTGATCACGTTATGAACTATTTAGATTTTGAAAACATTAAGAATAAATATACAATACATAGTTTATATTAATAAAAATATCACTGTTATATTCAAAACTGTTAGCAATTATCTCTTATGGAGGGTAAGGAAAATTGTGAGGTTGGGAATATGGGACTTACAGAACATTTCAGTCAAATCTAGATTTTTTAATGGGCATGTATTAATTTTATAATAATAAAATAATGGAGACAGACATGGGAAGAGTGTATAGCAATACAACAGGCAAAAGCATTACTTAGTAGCACTCTGGATACCTTAAATAACTTCCTAATGCCAGCGTCACTTGGAAAAATATGCAGTTACTATTTATTTTATTTATTAACTGATCAACAATATTTGCAATTTTTGCTCCACTTGTTGAAATTTTTCATACATAATCAAGATTCTGCTTTGGATTTTAATATTTAATGGAAATTTTCAGAATGTTTGTGAATGATGCATTGGATTGACGCTACATTACTTGAAAAGTTTAGTGAATGCTGCTGAGTTTCAAATGTATTCCTTTGCCCAGGAACCTTTCCCCAATTTGCTATGGAGAATTGTTACCATAACAATTGATAAAGGAATGCATTTAAAGGCCTATTTTTTTAAAAAAATAATAATTTTATTACAGGGACATTTATGTCTTCCTTTAAAGATTCTGAACTTTAGTTTATGTCAGGATTACTTGAGGTGTTTTTTTAGAAACAAATCTTGCACCCGTGTACTAAATTTGTGGGCAGGGCCCTGAAATCTGCATTTTTAATGCATGCCAAGCTAATTTTGTGCTTTGGATCTTTGTCTCACTCATAAAGTACTCTTCTGGTTTGTGTATAAATCCTGTACTTTTATGTTCCCTATATTATCTCAAAACTTGACAGAGAGAAAAAAAAAATTTAGAAGGTCTCACTTCAAAAGTCATAAACTGAGTATCTTATAAACAACAAAAATTTGTTTTTCACAGTTCTGGAGGCTGGAAAGTCCAAAATCAAGGCACTAGCAGATTCAGTGTCTAGTGAAGGCCTACTTCATGTTTCACAGAATGTCACTTTCTAGCTGTAGTCTCACATCGTGGAAGGGTGAATGAGCTCCTTTGGGTCTCTTTTATAAGAAAACTACTTGCATTTCCATTACAGGCCTCCTGACCTAATCACCTCCCAAAAGGCCCCACCTAATCTTGTTGAGGGTTAAGATTTCAACATACAAAGTTTGGGGAGACACAAATATTTGGACCATAACAACTAGTGATTGTGTTCTACGTGATCAATTTAAATGTTTTCAACATGAAAGTGAGGGGCTCAGCATTAGACATAGCAGAAACGTATTACGTAGCTTTAATATTTGCATCAACTCTGTGAAGTAGTTATTTTTGTACCCACTTTACAACTGAGGAAAATGAAAATTACAGACCTTATGTGCCTAAAGTCACACAGCCAGAAAGTGGCAGTGCAAGGATTTAATTCCAAGCTTTTCTGACTCCAAAGCCCATAATTTAGCTAAGCCATCAAAAGGCATCACTTCAACAGAACATGAAAGCAAACAACTTACCCTAGAGGAAATTTAATATTTTATCTGAAGCTTTTTTCATTTTTCCTCATAATTTATATTTAAAACCTTTTACACATTTTAGAATAATGCAACTTAGGTTATTGTTGAACTGGGACTCAGCTCTACCAGTTGACTTTTATA